ATTCTAGCTAGAGACGTTAAGACAATCTCCCATTGTCTGAGCAATATAGGATCCTCTAATTCTTTATTCCATTATTTTCTTAAGTCTGCATATCAAATTGATTTATTGATAACAAATAACTGTAAAAACTAATGGTAGTTTTTATAGTTTTAAAAGATTTAACAAGTTATTCTAATATCTCAGGTATCAGAAATTGAAAGCGCTGCTTGTTCAAACAATGTTGTTAAAAATCTTGTAACTATAAATATTGTCATTGGGTGATATCTGATAGATATTTATCTCTTAACACATAGTGTATCAAAATAATAAACCCTGTAATAGGGTTTAAATAATTTACTATTGGATTATGCCAGTAATCAAAATCAGCCTATCAGTCACATTTAATGATTGTGGATGTACTCTTGTTTGTGCCTTCCACAGCTTTGAGAAATGAATGCAGATAGTCCTCACGTTATATAGAGCAGGGCTTTTCAACCGGTGGTACGTATATCATCTGTGGTACATTAGCACATGGCAGGTGGTAGGCGGCCCTGCCCAGACAAGTGTAGTGGAGGAGGGAACGAGCCAGTGCAGGGCAGGACTTACTGTGAGAGAGTCCTCTGGAGCTGCAGAGTGACTGGGGCGAGGCAAAGACCCCAGGCTCACTTCCAGCTCACCTGGAAGAGAAAAGAGGAGGAGGGGATGGAGATAGGAGAGGTTATAAAAGGCAGTTTGGGCGGGAGATGGAGAGAAAAAAAAAGAAGCAGCCTTGGGAGGAGGTGGAGTCAGCTCTAGCTGCACCAAAGGGAAAGAAGGAGAAGGGTGGGGGGAGAGGAGAAGAGATCAAGCAGGCCGGACATGAACTGATCTACAACTTCTGTGGCAGCCATCTGTGCTGGCAGCAACAAACAGGCAAAAAACGCAGCGGTGGAGATGTCGCCCTCCACGAGGAATGAAGAAAGGCAGCAATGAAGGAAGGTAGTATCAGCTGGAGGTGAGGCACAGAGAGAGGGAGATGGAGAGTGGAAGGATTCTTATGTGCTTTTGTAACTTTGAAGTTCTGGGATTTGTGCAATGTGGGCTTTGTGTTCTTAAGGAGTGTTTGGCAATTTCTATTTGGCTGATGTCTGATGTCTCCTGTTAGGTTCTACTGCTCTGCTATTGTTAGCTGTAAGTTTTGCTACAAGGGATTTTGAAGTGTTTTTCTCCTGAATGGATTTTGCCTGTAGCATTCCTTTACTTATGAATGGAGCCATTTGGGGAGGCTGTCTTAGCCAGCAGCCAGTACTTACTACATTTTTTTTTCCTTAAGTGCTGGCTGCTGGCTCCTTAACTTTCCTTTCTAGCCAGTAGCTAATTCTTAAAGGGGAACATGCCTTTTAAAGCTAGTTCCCTCAGTGGCTTGTCTTTTCTGGAGGCTTTTCCTTGTTTGATGAGTATATGGAAGAGGGAAAATATGGTTGTTGTTTTTTTTCAAATTCTTCCTTCAGAAGGAGATGGGCATGAGAAAGAAAGAGGGAAGGAAGGAGGGAAGGAAGTCCCACCTTAGCACTTGTCCACGAGCAACCCTGCCATTGACTTTGATTGTCAAAAGGTTGCAAAAGGGGATCACATGACTCTGAGCATGCTGCAATGGTCATAAATGTGAAAAATGGTCATAAGTCATTTCAGTGCAATTGCAACTTTGAACAGGTTTTTTTTTTTGTCATCATGTTTTTGACACCTTGCTAGGTGGTATTATTGCCATATCCTAAAAGTGATACAATTGGTGAAAAGGTTGAAAAGCCCTGATACAGAGGTTCTATTCCAGGAAACATTGCATTACATATTTCACAGATTTTAGGTATATGAAGCTCAAAAGAAGCACCTTGCAGGTAGGGAAATAGTTAATCACTAAATAATAGAAGCTGTTAAAACTACTTTATAAGTAACAGAAGTTTGGAGGAGGGGGAGAGATCTGTTTTTATTTGTTTCAGATAAAATACATTTGTGTGATTAGCTTTATATATCTGAAAGACAAATCAGTGTTTCCTGTTTTGTAATACTACAAATTTAAAAAAAAAAGAGTTTGCAAGACTGTCTTTGGGTGCTGGGGTTGGTCTGGCTGGATCCTGAGAATCGACTCTCAAGAGCACAAATTTGAGAGCAGATTTCCAACAATGGGATGACTTTGAATGCAGTTGGGATATGGCTTTGGGGCCAACTCCTCACAAATGCAGTCATCTATTTGGCAAAATATTGTGGGAAAATATGCAAACTCTGCCTTGTACAAACAAACATGGAAGATTTCATCATGATAATAACATGTCTCTAAGTGGAGTGGAAAAACAGGTATCGCATACTTGAAGATTAGTGGAACTGCAAAGTACCTCCGTGGATCCTAGGCCTACTCTTTCGTATAAATCTTATGTTAGCTATTAGAACAGTTGGCCAAGCAATCTATCATCAGTAATGCACATGCTGAAAAAGGAGTGTGGGCATTGAGGAAAGCTATTCTACTGATCGCTTATGTAGATGGAGTAGGCAAAATCTCTAGGACTACGCTGTCTTGAACAGCCACTTCTGTGACTACTGCTACTGCTTGGGCACACCTCTATGAATTTTTTTCATTAAAAAAAAAAGCAAATTAAAAACTTCAGAAGTTATTTTATCAGTTGAAGCCTTTGATTTGGTTAGTTATCTTTGAGAAAGTTATTGACAAGCAATTGCACCATAATGAATGAAATGTATACCGTGTCAACATTGTGCTACATCAATCCTATAGCATCCTACTGCATTGTGAAGAAAGAAGTTGCCAATTCGTCCATTGGTTTAAATTTAAAATGTTTCACCAAGTCATTGATGTAACATTTCACAGATCTGTAATAGGTTTTTCTTGTTTTCAGTATCTAGCCCAAATAATATCAGAAGTTTTCAAGTTTAAACTTTCTTCTAAATTGGGTACTTTGGCTTTATCAGTGAGAGTTCGTGAGAGGCTATTTCTCTGGCAAATGCTTGACAAAAAGCTCCAGGGGAATCAAGCTTGTGTCTTTCATATTTTGAGATATAGCACCAACACATTCCTTTGGCTTGTATTCTTTTGGCAAAGGCTGTGATTTGTGGTAAACTATCGCTCAAAATGGTTACTTCTCATGGTTTTACTGTGTGCTATGCTTTGAGGATAGCCAGTCCTATTTTTGTCCATGACATGAAGCCATATGTCATATGTATGACAGGTCATTTAATGAACATTTGAAATTACGAAAGATTCCCCCCAAAGCTACATATGACCATTTCAAACTTAAGACAGATGCAGCGAGCCTACAACCCTCAACAGAGTTGCTGCAGTGCCCCCACCTCTCTCCCACACCACCCCGCCAGAACCCTGCAGCACTTGGCCCTCCTCCCCAATCACCCATCACGCCCCACACTTACCTTCTGAAACTCTCCAGACCTCAGGTTGTGGAAGGTGGCAGGCCATGAACCTTCGGCTACACAGTGACAATCTAAATGCAGCTACCATTTTGTCCCATCCATTTATGGGCGGGACAAAATGGCCAACGCCAGTGAAATTGCTTCATTTTACTGCCTTACAGAAGTCTGCACAGTGCGGCAGAAGCTTCTTAACAATACAGAAAGCTTCTGCAACTCTGTGCAGAGCTTGTTAAGGCAGCAAAACGAAGCAGTTTGTCCCCCAGCTATGTGGCAGCGACCTGAACCCAGCTGCCATTTTATGGGAGGGACAAAATTGCAGCTGCTTTTGGAACTCTGCCATGTAGCTGCACAAAGAAGGAAGCCATTCCAGCACTCTGGAAGGCCTTGGAGCCTTCAAAAGGTAGGTGAGGAGAAGGGTGTTTGGCCTGGTGGAATGGAAATCAGGCCTAAAGCCTGGGAAGACCTGGTGCATGTAGGAAAAATCCCTCTTGGGACCCAAAGTGTGGGAAGTGAAGCACAGGGCGTCTCAGGAGTGGGAGAAGCCTTGAGAGGGCCAGGCAGGCTGGCTTGCGTCTGTACAGGTAGTCCCCGATTTACAACAGTTTATTTAGTGACTGTTCAAACTAACAACTGCACTGAAAAAAGTGATTTATGACCATTTTTCACTCTTATAACCTTTGATCATGATCTTGTATTCAAAATTCAAATGCTTGGCAATTGGTTCATATTTATGATCGTTGCTATATCCTAAGGTCATGTGATCACCTTTTGCAACCTTTTGACAAGCAAAACCAATGGGGAAGCCAGATTCACTTAACATGTTACTAACTTAGCAACTGCAGCGATTCACTTAACAACTGTGGCAAGAAAGGTTGCAAAATGGGGCAAAACTCATTTAGCAAATGTCTCACTTAGCAACAGAAATGTTTGGCTCAATTGTAGTTGTAAGTCAAGGACTACCTGTACTAGGCCTCCAACGGCCTCCCCTTCCCAGCTCCATTTAACGACCTGCATGTTTGTTTTACATTTCATTGGGGAGAGTAGGGATGCGAAGGGTCATTAGGTGACATGTTTTACGTAACGACTGCCCCAATATGCGGCTGTAATGGTCAGGCTCCGTTATGGTCGTATCTCGAGGACAAGCTGTACTAAAATCTTCAGTGTACTTCTTTTTCCTAATTGCAGCTACATATAGTTCATACTTTGTTAATATATGCAAGTGAATGTACCTCAGTATTGCTGTTTACTATTACTATTAGATATGCATGTTATGCTTTATATTTTATATCCCATTATGTCATCTGATAAAATCAGTTTCGATCAGTCCCAAATATTAATAAAGATGTTAGAAAAACAGAGAATCAACTTTCTAAATGCTTTTTCTTTCTAAAAATCTCCTACCCCTTCTTAGAATTTGTTCATATCCTCTGGGGGGGCAGTTTAGGAACCTGTACAATTGGCAATTTAGTTCAAAGTACTTTAAAATGCACTACTACCACAGTAGTACACCCAGATTATTCTTTCTCATAATGTAGAGTGGCTGCCACAAAGATAATACTTTCAAAAGATAGCAGTTAAAAGAACTTGGATGATTTGTCTCTTTCCAGGTGGTGCCAAAGCATGTGATGGAAGCATTGGTCAGGAAGTACATCACCGGCCACCTCTCATTTTTAACTTGCGGCGTGATATTCAAGAGCAAGAGCCGATGGACATTCACAGTGCTGAGTATCGTTCTGTCTTGCCATTAGTAAATAAGGCCTTTGTGGATATTCTTCAGGATATTGCTTCAGACAATGTCTCTATAGCAGATTATTCTCACGATGCAGATGTGATCCCCTGCTGCAACCCCCAACACTTGGCCTGCAGATGTGAATCTGCTTATTCTAACTTATCTTTGGAAAAATGCTAAACAACTTCCAAGTTAACAAGCATCTGTCCTCCCAGAACTAGAAATCAAATGGGTGAAACTGCTACAAAAAAGTACAACATTCTTGGTTTGGATTTTATATAATAATTTGTCATATCTTTCTACAGAATTTAGCTTGACTGATAACTGAAATATGGGCCTAAAATGTTTAGATGGCTATTTGATACCCCTTGATTAAGTCCAGCTCACCTAGAACCCAACATCACAATGTTATGTCTCCTTCTCCCCTTTGTACATCACAGAAAAGCAGGAGTGGAGTGTTAGAACATAAAACAATTGCACAAACAGAAAGGCAGGAAAGAACTATATTGTTAAGATTGAATATTTTTAGGAGAACCATGTGCATTTCATAAAGTCAGATTATAATCCAAGTACCTCAAAGAAAGTTTGGCATTGACTTGAAGTCAATCCCAGGCATCAAATGCCATCTAAAGTTAGACAATGTTAAATTTGAACAATTAAGACAGTTGTGATTTTTTTTGTAGTAATAGAATGTGGTTAATTTTTTTATCAACCATTTGACAATATTATATGTAACAGTTTCTTTTCACAGTCATTCAGGCTCATAATATATTTTGATTATTTTTTTTTTTTAAAAAAATAGCTCTCGCTGTTGATTTCCAAACTTGATCTGTGTTTGATTTTCCCTGAAAAGAATAATTGAGGCAAGGGAAATAGGTAGCCACTGTGTTGTAAACGTAAAAAAAGATTTCCATGATTTTACATGTGCAGCAATTTATCCATACAGCTTAATCTGGACCGATAGCAAGGCTTTTCTTACTCCTTTGCTGCACTTTGCTTCCTGAAAGGGAAGTGTTTGAAGGGGGTTATGCATGCATTTATTTCCCAAGTTACACAAGAAGAAGGAATATGAGTGGAAACACAGCTCCTGTTAACCTCATGATTTTATTGACAAATATTTCAGCATTCCTCCAACCCTGGAAGTTGGGGGATTTCCTTTTATTCAAGTAGATAATTGCAAAAATATTCTGCATGGGTAAATTCTCATGAGTATACTGTACAAAGACGTAAATCAGTAGGTTCTTTTCTAGGTACATTTATACATGGCATAAATAAGAAAAGGGCTAGTTGGAGTATAAAATTCAGCTTCAATCAGATGCATTTATACTGTGGTTCTTGAGAAGAGAATAATGTGCATATACAGTACATTGATACCAAACATAGAGCATTTTAAGAAAATACACAAAAGAGGGGCAGAATACATCAACTAGCAAAAGTGAAACATACTGTGTGAAAAGTACTGGAGCGTCTCTGGTTTGCCCCACGTTTGTGGGTTCTTCTACATTCCCCCTTGTTTTTCCAAACTACCTCCCATCCGCCGCTCTGTGTTGTGTTGCTTGCCTCTCCTCATGATCGCTTCATTTTGTTCGTCTGGCTTCCACGGCACAAGATTATCTACCAAAATCAAAACAGAACGGCCTTACTTTCCCTGGTCATGTGCGTTGAGCATGGAGTGTTGCAAACAGGCTTGAGATGCATGCAGAGGGAAGCGGCGGGGAGATGAAAGTCATGGCATAGTTTCACTTTTGGCAAAGCTGATGGGTTTCTGGGCCTCCCTTAGGGCTTTGTCCTCGATTGACAGAAAAAATCTGACTCAGAAATAAGTGTGTGTTGGGATCTAGACTTAAAATATATTCCTGGGTTAAACAATGGTTCCTGTACGTGTTTTGACTGCAAACATACACACTGGAACATCTTGAAGAATCAGTTATTTAAACATGTAGAAAAAAAGAAAGGCAACAGCTCAGCATATTGGCTAAAAGTAACATTTATAGCAGTGTTTCTCAACCTTCACAATTTTAAGGCATGTGGACTTCAACTCCCAGAATTCCACAGCCAGCAATGCTGGCTGTGGAATTCTGGGAGTTGAACTCCACATGCCTTAAAATTGTCAAGGTTGAGAAACACTGATTTATAGTGTAGGTTTGTCACTCCCAATGGCCATCATGAGAAGCTGTCAATAAGAGTACAAAACAAACAGAGTTCTTGTAAGACACAGCAAGCCTTCTTGGCTTTTTGAAAAGTGTCTGATTCTTCTGTTTTTCAAAATCTTAGTCATACTGTTGGTGCTTTACTTCACCAACTTTTGATCCTATTAGCGGTAACCCAAAGTTTACATTCTGACATTACGAAGTCACAACTGAACCAGACTCCAGCAAGAGAATATGGTACTACTGTTGCTACCCTTCTTATGCAACATAGTGTAGCATTGAACATGCCCTGTACTCTAGAGTGTAACTTATTATTTCACAATCAAAAACTAGATGGCTCTCCTCCTAAAGCAGTGGTTCTCAACCTGTGGGTCGGGACCCCATTTGGGGTCGAACGACCATTTCACCGGGGTTACCAAACAAGACTGTCCGCCATTTTTCCCCCTTTTCTTTGGCCACGCCCCTGGCACCCGGTGATGTATAAGTGGTTGGGGGTCACCACAACATGGGGAACTGTATTATGGGGTCGCGGCATTAGAAAGGTTGAGAACCACTGTCCTAAAGCATTCGTGTTTAAAGGCAGATCAAGACCCCAGTTTCCATAGTTGTTCCCATTTTCCATAGAGAGACGACAACTTTTATCATATCCAGAACAATTCCAAGTAGAAAATGCTACATGCCATCATTTCTGTAATGACATGTTTATTGTATTGGTACACAATAAAAGACAAATAAGGCACATAAGGAAATGTGGTATATTAGTGGATTATGGATATCTGGTTAATAGTTAATTATTATTTATCCCATCTTAGTATCTCAGATCTGGTATGGTAAAATTAATTCAGCTCCTTTTGGCCTTGTGCACATCTCTGTAGTTTTCTTGGCAATAATATATTTCCAGAATTTTTTTTAATTTTTAGTTTCAAGTTTAGAGAATTCTTGGTGGTCTCTCCTCTTAATACAGTACACATCTGACCCTGCTTAGCTTTTTGAGATCAACTCAAGACTGGCTATATCTTGTCATCTAGCTCTGCCTTAGGCTAGGATTTTTGAGCAGATGAAATTACAGTAAATATCCAAAAATATGTGACAGCAGATAGTAGTAAGTTGGATCAGTCAGTGCATCTCTTATTTGTCTGTTTACATCTCACTTTTTGTTTTTGTAAATAAATTCAAGATACCAAATATACACAATATTCTTTCCTCCTCCTATTTTCTCCCACATCTACAACCACTATCCTGTGAGTTGAGTTGCACTGAGAGAGAGAATAACTGGTCCAAAGTCACCCAGTTGGCTTTCATGCCTAAGGGGGGACTGATATATGGTTCTTAAGAATTAAAAAAAAACATATATACTTTCTTCTCTGCTGGTAGGGCTCCTATAAAATACTGTACCTGGAATGGGCAAGAGAACAAGTTGCATTGAAAATGGGTAGAGACTGCAATCCTTCAGTCTAGAATGTCTAAGGGCCCATCTTAAGGAATATTGGATTTGAAAGATGTCTGTCTCTGATTTCAGGAGAGAAGCTATTAATGGGGGAGAAACCAATGGAAATACTTTATCCATCACTTCTGCTCTGTTGATAGTCTAAGTTTTGATGTTGAAGTGTTCCAAAAAGAAAGGTAGGATTACTTGGGTAAGAAACACAGAGATGTCTTAGAGGCTGTTTATTGAAGTCCCATGTTTCTATTTATTAAATTTAGATGCTATCCAACTCCCATCAACTCTGGGAGGTTTACAAAATGTTTTTTTTTTAACAGACAAAAAACAACATAAAACAAAAAAGCAAAGATGGCAAACCCAGATGGGGACAAAGAAGAAAAAAAAGGTGACTTGAATCACATTTGCCTCCTTTGCTGCTTTCTTTTCATTTTTTCTTCATTTTCACAGTTTACTTATTCTCTGAATAAGATACTTCATTACCACAATTTTATAGTGTATTAAGGATGGTTCATAAGGAGCACAGCAAAAACAAAGAATAAGAGCATGTCGACCAATCAAATTACTATGATTTGAGAGGTACGACAAATGCTAAAGAACTGTAATCCACCCTCTTCTATAATGGCAGCCAAAGGTAAAATAAAGCACATGCTTAAAAACAAATGGAGTAGCTTCTTAGCGACCTGAACAATATTGCTGAGCACAATTAAAGCAATTGCTAATTAGAGCTACTGTATCTGGGCTGCAGAAATCTAGATTACAACTAGATGGTGTTTTTTTTTTAAGGTACAAATTTCATAATTTTATAATATATAAAACTGCAACACTAGCACCAAGCACAACAAAGACAGTGGTTATACAGTGAAGAACAAAAATCTAAATACTATCTATGTTAATTAAAATTGGATAAATGTGAGTGAATGGCCACTGCATGGCAGCAAAGAGCTATTATGGACTTCGGTATCAGCTTGTTGCCAATTAATAACCATCCTAAAATTTTACAGCCCAGATAGGACAGCTCTAGAAGCTCAGTAAATATGTATGCCCGTGTATTAATGTAAGAAATAAAAACTAGAAGAAAACAAATCATTTTTAAATATAATACTTTTTTCCCCAGGAATACTGGTCATGGCCGTGATTACCTTTCGAAAAATTAAAAAAGAAGAAAGCAAATAGAATTCCAAACTGGCTTAGCTACTAAGAAGCAGAGTGAAATATTTATCTCTGGCTTTCCTGTACAACTAGCAATAAATACCCAAATTGAGTGCCTTTGATCTCCAGCTATAAGTATAATTTTCCACTTGCTGTAGCTTTAATGGAAAATATGTGTGTGTCCATGCACAGACCTAGTGAGAAAAGAGACTGTGCCATTACAGGTGGTCCTTAACTTGCAACCCTTCGTTTTAGAGACCATTCAAAGTTACAATGGCCCTGAAAAAGGGAATGGCCATTTTTCACACTTATAACCACTGCAGCATCCTCAGAGCCACCTGACCAAAATTCAGACACTTGGCAGCTGGCTTATATTTACGATGGTTGCAAGTGTCCTGGGGTTATCTGATCACTTTTTGAGACTTTCTGACAAGCAAAGTGAATGGGGAAGCCAGATTCAGTTAAAAACAACTGCAGTTAACAACTGCAGTGATTCGTTTAAAAACAGTGGCAAGAAAGGTCATAAACTGAGGCAAAACTCACTTAACAACTGTCTTGCTTAGCAATGGAAATTTTGGGCTCAATTGTGGCCATATGTCAATGATTACCTGTATAGAAAACCTGTGTGCATCTGAAAAAGAAATCTGTGGGTCCAACTGATGCCCTATAGACAGAGCCACTCTTTTCAGAAATTATAGAGAGTGGCATACCACATCCCAATTTTCCCTCCCAGCTATTGAGATGGTCAAGGCAGTGGCAGAAAGGGAAGAATGGAGAATAAATAACAGCAGAAGCAAGACAGATATCTAAGCAACTGTAGTATGGAGGTATCCAGTGCTTCCTGGCTACTTCCAATTAAAATCGCTTGAGAAGAAAGGGATCACCTGGGAGACTTTGTGCAACACTACTACTAGGAAAGCTGCTCCCTCCCCACAATTCCATTGTATATTTAGGATTTTTCAGCCACCTCCATCTCATATAAAGCACAATCTGGAGCAGTCCCTGCTGTCAGGAAATTTATGCATCTTAGAAAAGGGGTTGTTAATTCTTAAGAACAAGAAAGCCTTGACTGAAAGGCCAGGCAAGATAGAAAAAAAACATCCATAAGAAGGAAAAATGCTAGCCAATATAAATAGCCTATTTGAAAAATGTCTCCATGAAAAAAGTTTAAGTCCTCCCTTTTAAAGGTAAAGCAAGTAGAACTCTTCTTCCTTTTCCCATTATATTTTGGACAATGCACCTGCGTCAACAGAGAGGGAGAAGCTTGGAAGATAGAGCATCAAAGCTCAGAGAATTCAGGCATCTGCTGGGATTGCTGCTCCGTCTCTTTTTCCCTTGTGCTCCCTGACATTTTGTTTACTTATTTATATTTCATATTTCTTAACCGCCCATCTCCCTCAGAAATAGGTAGCCTCTTCTCCAGTAGCCCAGGCATGGCAGTAAATCCCCGACCACTGCAACTACACAAATGATGCTGGTGACATCTTTCCCCTGATCTTCCTACAAACATCCTCCACCCACTATGGAGAAAGAGTAGGGCAAAGGGCAACCTTGATGCTGCATCCATCAACCAAAGAACCACGGGATGTAGAAGATAAGGCAAGAGGAATCAAATGGGAAATACAAGCCTTCCTTTCAAATTTTTGAAACAGCAGCTCCTTGTTAAGTTTCTCTCCTTTTCTGGGCTAGTTTGGAGCCTCTTGGAAAGCAACAAGTGGGTCAAAGAGCTGCTTTGGGCTCCAAAATGCATTCTCAGATCTGAATTAAACCCTGAAGACATCATTATCTTGGAAGGATAATTTTGTTAAGGATGCCAGATGTGGCCTAGAAGTACCTGATATTGCCACATGGTTGAACTTTGAAAGGCATGGAACTCAGCCCTCCCTTTAACTGGCAGCCCAGAGCCTTGTGTAATTTGGATTCGCTATTACAAATATACTTGGAAAACAGGTTTGTAGGCTTCACTCCAAAAGCCCATGGTGGGAGTCACACACCCCACACAGAGATGGCTACCAGGCAGGAGAGGAAAGGACAGATCGCCCGGAAGAAAAGATTTAAGCTTTTCTTCTCAGCACGAATTTCACAATGCTGTTTTAAGTATTCCTAATGCTCACAGGTGGAAATTCATTTTCGTCATCCAGGCATACTGGCCCAGTAGCAAATTCATGCTCAGGTATTATCTCTCCTCGAAGGGCTCCACCATCTTCCGAGTAACCTGCAATATAAGAAGACAGCTTAGAAGTCTTTAAACGGAATGTTATAGAATGCTTTTTACACAGGCACCCCTCATTCCATGTAAATTATTGGATGGCTAAAGAGCACCAAGAGGTAGTCTGTACGTGTCATTCAACTATCACAGCTGAAACATCACAATTAGGACTTTATTGTAAAAATCCTGACTTCATGTGCAAATAATACATAGACACTTGCAGAGGTATCAAGGGATTTGCTACGCCTGTGAACCACTTTTTCGACGTTTTGTGAACAGAAATATTCAAAACTGATCATTACTTAGGGTTTAGTTACTCAAGTATCATATATAGAACATGATCTAGAATTTTCATGTGGAAGTATTAAAAATGAGTGAACAAAACCAAACAAAATGCCACTGATTATATTCATTTCATTTAGTGACTTCCCTTGATTTCAAACTATAGTATGGCCCGTATCTCATCTTACAGCCTAAATTTAATATCCTCCCTTCCCATCCCTTGCACACTTTGATTACCTCTATAATTTTCTCATTTGGGCAACTTACAGAGAGCTGTTGCATTCGTAGAAGTAAAAAAGAGAAGGAACCGTACGTTCATTAGCAAAATTCTTGAGATACAAGGCAAGATTGAGGAACATAATACAAAAGTTGGCATTTGACAATGATTATAATCTTCAGTGCACTTTATATGTCTTCAAAGAGCTTGAGTTTTTCATATTAAACTTCCTCATACCCATAGTTATTTAAACTATGTTGTCCACTTTCAATTATTTATACTATAATAATAATAAACTTAAATAATAAATTATAATAATTTATACTTAAAAAGTCGTAACAAAACCCTTCCCAGCAAAAAGAACAATTCTTGTATGTTATCAGCACAACAGAGTAAGATACTTAGGTTCCAGGATGATGTGTTCTCCCACGAATAGGTTAATGCTCCCTATTTTATTCTGGCAATGAGGACCTCTGCAGGTCTACTTAGCAAAATGCTGCCTGCAGCTATGCTGGAGTGGAACAAATTCCAGAGAGATGTTTGTAATGTATCCAAGTTTTAAATGTTTTCAGTCTCTTAAGAAGCCCCATCCGTTGGATACAGGTAGTACATAAAACCACGCCCCCTCCAGTCTGCGGAAGAACCTTTTGCCACATAACCAGTCCCTGGTGCCCAAAAGGTTGGGGACCTCTGTGGTAAAGGACCACAAAAGGCTTCCAACTCCCATTACGTAAAAATATATGACACTGAAGCACACTGGAAAGTGAGGTAGGTACAGTAATCAGGCAGTTGTAGGAGCAAGGACAAATGATTCCAAGAAAGGTGAGCAGAGGTGCAGATCCTGCTGGCCATATCAAAGACTTGGGCACAGCTCCTCATGTTTCCAGCAAATATTGATACCCACTGCTAATGCTCCAGATGACTGCAGAGAGACGATGTATTATAAAGGTAACTTACATATCACCGTATACCCTTTCAGTTAGTGTTGACCTATATGGCACTTTGCCTGACCTCCACACCATTTCTTTGATTTCTTTGCCTGTTCACTGAATGGGTGGGTGATGGATCACAGAAGGGGTAAACCATATTTCTCACTCCAATTCAACAATTTAGCTGACAAAATAGAGGGCTACAAATATGTCACAGGGAATTTTGTTCAGGATTCCCCCTCCCTTTAGTGATTTTTTGCTAAGAATGGCTGGGGGAAGATTAAGAGTAGATGCAAAAGCCTGTCTGTAAGAGAAATATTAGTGTATATTGTGACCTAAGTGTGTATGACAATACAGCAAAAGGCAATTTGGAGATGGACAGTTGTTTAGAAT